ATTTTTAAAACTAAGTAATCTTTTCTTAACAGATTAGAAAAATGATTAATACAAAAAATTTTTAAAAACTATATAAATTAAATCTCAAAACCAGTCTTCAGTTCAAACTCTTAAAGAGAGTAATGTTAAATATATATATGTTTATCTTTCTGTGCACCTTTAGCGGGTCGTTGATACGAGTTTCAACATAAAACGGCAAAACAATGGAAACGGCCTTTATTTCCAGACTATTTATTTTTATGACTATGATGTGACTGATTTTTCTGTAAAATAACGGAAAATTTCTGGAAAATCTGCTGCCGGAAATTTCCGTTGAAAGCGCAAAACTTACGTTACAAAAAAACTCTTCTAAAAATGTATTCCTTAAACGATAAAAAAAAATTAATTACATAAATATATTCTGCAATTATTAATGTCATAAGTTGCTCTAAACATTGCATAAAAAAAAGTTAAATAAAAATTTATATATATATATATATATAGATATATATATATATATATATATATATATATATATATATATATATATATATATATATATATATATATATATACATATATATATATATATATATATATATATATATATATATATATATATATATATATATATATATATATATATATATATATATATATATATATAGATATAGATATAGATATAGATATTATATATATGCTTTTAGAACAAATAACTGTTATCTTTTTTTCTTTTTGCGTTTTTTCTCGCATTCTCTTGATTATAGATAGTCAAACATATCTCTAAACACAAAATAAATTACATAATCATGACATAGATTATAAATTAAAATCTGTGAAATTAAGAAAGATAAGCATATATTGTGAGCCTTCTTTTACTTTTTGCATAAGCTTATTCTTTCTTTTTAAATTTTTTTAAGCTTACATATTATTGTATAAGCTTTCGCATAACCATTTTTCGAAGATTTTATATGCTTATAATATAAACTTTAGCTGCTTTGAAAAATTTGTTTTTACCTTAGAATCAACACCAGTAGTCTTTTAACATTATGATCGTATCTTGTGTTCTTGATATGATGGACCATAAATAAATTCATCAAATGGTAGACCACAAGCAAAATTATCAGTTTAAAAATAACAATAAAAACAATATTAATATAATATAATAAAAATTAGTTTAAAAAAATTAAACAAATTCTTTAACTTTTTATTAAAATATAAATATTATTATTACATTTTATATATATATATATATATATATATATATATATATATATATATATATATATATATATATATATATATATATATATATATATATATATATATATATTATATATATATATATATATATATATATATATATATATATATATATACATTTACTATTTTTCTCTCTACATAGTATCCAGATTCAATACAATGCTTTTTCAGTGCTTCCAGATTCCATATTTATACTTTATGCTTTGTGGATTTTAACTTTTTAAACTTTCCATATTATAGCCAACCATATACCTAACAACACAAATATAAATGCTTTAATACAAATGAGTGAAATAACAAATGAAAATATAAATACAGCAAAATCACGAATACATACGAATAATTACGCTACTTGTAATACTTTTCATCAGTTAAAGATTTATTGTTCAAGATTTATTAGTTAAATCTTATGGATTACTTGGCATTAGTTAAAAACTGTTTTAAAATATCTTTTTTCTTCTTAAATTTTTTTTTTCACATTACTTTGTTAGAACTTCAATGAAAAAAAATTTTTTTTCTAAAAAGAAAATATATACTTTTATCTCTTTTTCTTTACGTATGAATGTATCTACATATAGAGTATGCAGTGACTCCTACATCAGCACAACTTGCTCATTTCCAATTAACTCTAATTGATTCCATAGGCGATCATATATCCTGCAATTGAAGTGCACGCAGATGGTTTCAGAAAATAGAGAGTGTCATCCTTCATATATTGCTATCAGATCTAAAAAACATTGTTTTATTTTATGTTGCAGATTTTAAAATAATTTAAGATATTGTTAAAAACATTTCATATTTTTAAATTTTGCTTAATTATATCTTTAACTATAAATACTAAGATAAAAATAATTGTGCAATTTAAATAAATTTTTTGGATAAAATATCTAAAACACTAAAATATTAAATAAGAAAGAAAATTAAGATGCAATTTTGAGATAACAAGTAAAACATTCCCAAATTTTATTTATATAAAAATACATAGTTTATACACACACACATATAATATATGTGTGCATAAACTATGTTTTTTATATAAATACATATGTATATATACATATATGTATGTATGTATGTATGTATGTATGTATGTATGTATGTATGTAAGTATGTATGTATGTATGTATGTATGTATGTATGTATGTATGTATGTATGTATGTATGTATGTATGTATGTATGTATGTATCTATATATATATATATATATATATATATATATATATATATATATATATATATATATATATATATATATATATATATATATATATATATATATATATATATATATATATATATATATATAAAAGGTTAGCAAACTAAGCTAAGATCTTAGGATGATGTTTACATTTGATAAGTTCTACAAAAATAAATTTACTATAAAACCATCATTTAAAGTAATAAATCTCAAAATCACTTTAGTAAATAAATAAATACTTCATAGCATTTACTCTACAAGAGATATGCATACTAAAATACGAAGAACATTCAAGCCTTACACCTACAACTTAAATTTATTATATTATATACTAAATGACTAAATACTTTTCTAACTAAAATTGCATCATATTTTTATTTCTGGAAGTTATTCTGATACACCGAAGCACTTGAATTTTGAGAAAAATAATAAATATAAATCCAGAATGATTTAACAACAATAGACAAAACAAACAATACTTTTAAAGCAATAACTTAAGGCCTTCACATTTTATTGATTTGTTGGAAATTACCATTTTTATTTTTAATCCATACTATAGAGCATCAGTTGATTCTATAGTATCAACAATAACTTACTATATATAGCCTTTTTATAATGTTGGACTGCTAGAAATAAGGCTTACGTTCAAAATCCTTTAGTGAACTGATCAAAACTGTATGTTTTGTATTTAAATTGTATGTAAAACTGATTTAGTTTTACATACAATTTTCAAAACCTTTTAGTGATTTGATCAAACTTTTTCTAAAAACAATCAGAAATAATAATGAAAAATGATAGCAGATGTATTTATTTTATATAGAATTTTACTACTTTGCATAACTATCCTGCATGAATATTATAAACAAATAAATTTAATAATGTATTCTAATCATAGTTGTAATTTCTGGGGTAATCTTTATAAATTTGTTTTTAAATTTTTTTTTTAATATTTACTTGTAGATAACTTAAATACCTTATTTATAAAGATATTGTAATTAAATATTAATAAAAATGTAAATTGTTATAAAAAGTTTTTAAAACGATGAGAAATTCATCGGTCTTATCATAAAAAAGCACTAGTGCTTAAGTAGTGCTATTTTAAAATTTATTTATTTTAAGCTACATATTTTAACATGTGAACTTTTTCCTTGGCTTTAAAATGATCCATTTTATGTATAACATGTTATGTGAGTACCCTTTTACATAAATTTAAAATCACTCAAAATTGAACTTAGAATGCACAAGTCTTGTGTCAAGAACCCTACTAAACATAGTCTCGTTCTAAGCAATCCAGGGACCAAATAAAGCTCATGTAATTTTAAAATTAAAAAGAACAGAACAGCTTATATTAAAATGCCTGGTGAACTTTCTTCGCCCTGCAGGTAAAACTTCAGAACTTATTTTTGGAGATAAATGCGTACATAAAAATAACTTTTAAAAATCTTCAACATGTATTTTCTATATAAATACAACGGAAATTTCCGTATTTGAAAATTTAGCTACAAATACAAAAAATTTCCGTACATAATCGATGGATACATCTATATATGGACATACGGATCCTTTCCGTTGAAATAACGGAATAAATTTCCGTTTTTTTAACGGAAATTTTTAACAGTGTACAAATTGTATTTACAATAAGTAATACAAATAGTATTTACAATTTAATTTTAAGTTATTTTATAATAATTATGCATATTATTATAAGTTAGAAACAACATTTAAGTCAACAAAATTTATCTTAACGAAACAACGTTCATATAGTTAATAGTAAAACATGTGTTGTGACGTCTACTTGACCGTCATCTTGACACGGTCATCTTGCCCCCCGCTACTACAATCTTTAAAATGAATCAGAACTATACATATTCAAGTTATCATAGCCTAATGCTTTTTGTATAGCTTCCAGATTAATTAAACTAAATGAAAATTTGTCGCTTACCTTTAGCTGTTCATGTAGAGATGAAACCATAGCGATCAAATGAGAATAAAATTACCTTTTCAATGTCGGAAAAACATTTTCAATACTTAACTTTTGTCACAAATATAATATTTAAAAAGAAAGCATTAATAAATCTAGTAAATATAATTTACTTCCCTTTCAACTAAAGTCAGCTGTTACATTACCCAGCAAACTCGCCATGCTTGGCCCATGCATAGCCCACCATCGGTGCCATGACTAGCCCACCGTCGGCCGACAAGCATGGCCCAATCCCAGTGTTGCACACCGTTTATTGCTTGGCCCATGCATGGCAGCCGTTCTTCGACCAGCGTTTAGCCGTTGTTTTGCCAGTGATCATTTTTACACTACTTTAGGTTGATTTTATTTGCTTTTTAACATGTATTGCTATTTTTATAAATAAACAATACTTAAATAAATACGAGATTGTAACTTATGCGAGCAAATGCAAGATTTTAACTTAGAGATTTTAACGTAAAATAAGTAAGGAAGAAAAAGATAAAGCGGGGTGATGTTTAACTACTTAAAGTCTCCTGGGTGATAAAAAATAGAATGTGGGATATTTTTAACTATAAACACACCGTCATTTTAGCAGTACAGTTTATATTACCAAATATTTTTATTTCAATAAAGTATTCTTTTAATACAATAACATATAAAAGTTTAAGGTTAGCGAAAGGTTAAACTTCTACAATAATTCCGTATTGATGCTTGCATGAGCTAACGTTTGATACTTCTCGATATATCTATATTTGTTGCCTGCCAAGCCCCATCTGAAAGATTTAGTTATTACAAAAGTTAAAAAATTGCCAAAAGTCAAGAAATCGTAAAATAAGTATAAAACTGTAACCTAAATAACTAAAAATAAAATAATTGCAAAACAAACTATACAAGTTAGTAATAACATAAGTTAGTAATAAATAAGTAATAAATATTTTTAAATATAATTCTTTATTCTATATTATAAGTAATAATATACTTTTTTTGCACACTTTGCTAATAAGATCTTGATCGAGGCAGTGTTTGATGCTCTTCTCAAAACTTCCAATATTCTTGTGTTCTCAAACCAATTTGTTAAAACTAATAAATTAAAGAAAGATAAATAGATTGAACTTGTTTACCCTAAAATAAATGTTATAATTGTATTTACTGTTTATACTTTTATATAATATTCGTCTTAAAAAATCTAACCTGCCCTGTTATTTGGTGTCAAATGAAATAAATCACGCAGTCGTATAAGATGCCAACAACATAATAAAAGTATTTAAACATAAATACTTTTAGAAATATAATTTAAAAAAAAATATATTTAAAAAAACCTTGTGAATATGCAACATCTACTTTACTCTCTAAAAATTTAAGATTTTAAACCAATAAATTTCATAAATTACTTTTTTTCCACAAAGAAAAGCCTTGAAATGTTTGTTATCTCTCTCTCTCTCTATCTCTCTCTCTCTCTCTCTCTCTCTCTCTCTCTCTCTCTATATATATATATATATATATATATATATATATATATATATATATATATATATATATATATATATATATATATATATATATATATATATATATATATATATATTATATATATATATATATATGAAGTTTCTTGTGCTACTATTTATAATCTTACATTGTTTATTCAATAAATCACAACTCGTTGACTTCATGATAACATTAGATAATCATATTGTTCCAAAAAATACTCTAAACAAAATAAAACATATAAAAACTATAAATATAAACCAACTAAGTTTCATGAAACGCCATATATTAAAAAATATCTTACGTTGTTTATCCAATAAACCACAACTCAATGACTCCATAATATTAGATAATTATGTTGTTTTAAAAAATACTCTCAATGAAATACAACATATAAATATATATAAGGTTTCTAAGGAAACCATATAAAAGAAAAACCTTACTTTGTTTCTTCATTAAATCACAACTCATTTACTCCAAGATAGTATTAGCTAACCCTGTTGTTTCAAAAATTACTTTTAATGAAATACTACTTATAAAAACTATAAATATATATAAACAAAATTTATGGGTATGCGACATAACAAAAACATTGTACCTTGTTTATTGACAATGAAGTTTCTTGAGATACCTTATACAAAAAATATCTTACGTTATTTATCCAATAAATCACAACTCGTGGACTCCACGATAACATTAGATAAACCTGTTTTTTTTTTTTTTTTTTTTTAACTCTCTGAGTAAAATATTACAAATGAAAAATATAAATATATATCAATAAAGTGTCTTGGGTTACCATAATAGAAAAATATCTTACGTTGTATATCCAACAAATAATCTCATTGACTCTATAACATAAGATAACCATGTGGTTCCAAAAAAGAATCTTAATTAAATACATATAAAAATTTAATAATTAAACTAATTATTAAATATTATATAAGGCTTAAAAGCAAATAAAGATATTAATCAATTATTTTATTTCACTTTATAGAAAATACAAAGTTAGGATCAGTAACAAACAATTATGTAACTGACAAAATCGTGACGACCTACAAATATTCACCATAAATTTGAAACAATATATAAACCAAATAGCAAATTAATTGTAAAAAAAATAAATAATTAATAATAATAATAATACAGTAATAATAATTATAATAATAACAGTAATGGCTTACAAAAGTAAACAATAAAAATAACAATGTTTATTATAAATATAATAATAATAGCCAAACATTAACAATAAGTATATAAGTACTATCAGTAATAACTAACAACAGTAACAATAAGAATAACAATGTTAATTAAAAAAATGAAAATAAAACAATAACAATAGATTTATTATATATAACAATGACAAAATTGACAGAAAATATAAGACAACAACGACAGAAGATATAAATATCTTCTGCAGAAGACATTTATATAAATGTTAATATTAATAATGATAAGATAACAATGACAGAATATATAATTATATATTCTGTCATTGTTATCTTAATAAGATTCTTATCATTATTAATATTAAAAAGAAAATGTTTTGACAATGACCGATCTGTCATTGTTAAAACATTTTCTTTTTATTTATTTACAGCTATTAAGTTAACAAAAAATAAGAAATATGAATATAGATAAATATTAAATAGTGAATATTATTTACTACTCACATTATTATAAGTAAACGTGATGCTTAACCTTTTTAAAATGTTATAAAGTTGCACATGCGCAAAGGAAAAACTTTTATTTTATCACAAAAATGGATTAAGCCTGGCACAAGATCGGCAAGATCGGCAAAGTTGGCCGATCGTAAAACAAGCATGGCCAACCATTGGTTAATGACTGGCATCACTGGCGCAATGGTGCCGGCCATTAACCAATGAATCCCATGCATGGACCATGCATGGCAAGTTTACTGGGTTAAGTTTCGCTTAAGAGACAACGGTAGGTCGTCATCTTGCCCCATTCGTCATTTTACCCATGTTCCCCCATGCAATTATGATATTTACAGAGTGTCAAACTCGCATTTGAAACCCTATTAAATACGCATTAATCGCGATATTATTCAATACGATTTTTTCTTGGTATTAAAAGCGCATTTAAAACTTTCTAGAATACGTGTTTTTTACGAATATATGTTAGCCTTTTTACTGAGTAGAAGACTTAATAAGAATACATTTTCCAAACCGGCATATTACGTTGTAAACACACATTTAAAACTTGTTTAAATACACATCATTCTGGTACGTATGCTAGCCATTTTATCGTGTCAAACACGCATTTGAAATAATTTTAAAAAGTAGTATATAATTTAAAAATTAGTATATAATGCTGTGGAAGTACAAATCAGATGAAAGTTCAACTGCATTGAAATTCTTCGGAACTATGCTCGTTACCTTTTGTTTTGTAAACATTAAAAAAACAACATCAAGACTGGACTTAAACGCGTAATCTTTATACGTTAACGCTAATACGTACGTTTATAATAATTTAAAAACAAAGGTTCGCCAGTAATATTCAAGAAACATTAAAAATAATGCAACAAAACGGCAAACAACAACTTTTTTATAAACTTCATATTAAATGAATGGAGTACTACAAGAATGAATGGAGTTATTATATACATCTAATAAAACTTTAAACTTTAGTTATTTAGAAAACAATTTTTTTGATTTTTTAAAAATTGTTTTAGTTATCATTTTTATCAAATGTCGTGTTATGACTTGAAGCAAGAAAAGAAGCTTAAACTAACATATGCTTTTAAAATCAACTGGTTCTATTTAATTACCGAGTTTTTTAAACCTTTTGCTGAATAATTGCTAAATAATAATGGTTAAAAATTTGCTGCATATCGCTAGAATAATTCGTTTTTTAATGTTTTAATAGAGATCATTTCAGTGAATTTTGTTGTTTTTTTATCTAGTGAAACTTGTATTTTTTTTATCGTCGGTTACAAGCATACTCCCGAGACGACTTGAAGTTGCTTTGATGTGTGCGGTTCGATGAACTTCCATCTATTCTATACTTTCATGTTAATGCGAATCCTACTGAGTATCAAACTTGCATTTGAAACTTTTGTAAATACGCATAAAACATAGTATTAGTTATTATTCAATACGGTATTTTCTTGGTATTGAATGCGCATTTCAATTTTTTTAAAACAAGTGCTATTTATAAATGTATGTTAGCCTTTTTACCGAATAGAACACGTACCAGAAATGCGTTTTAAACGCGTTGATTATTGAACGCATAACACGTATCGAAACGTGTTTTTATTACACAAACGTGAACACGCAATGGCTCTAAAAGAAATAATAAAAAACTAATACTTTAAAGTTTTATTAAATCAACTTGTGCTGTGTGCAATATGCACATTTATATTCTAATTTTTAAAATATAATAATAATACATGTTTTATTAATTTTATAATAATAAAATCGCAGCTAATACCTCTACTAGTATACTAATGTATTATTTACCTGGTATTATACAAACGTATTATTTTTTATAACTATTGTTTTAACAACAAAAAATACACTATAAAACGCAATATTCAAAAATTACATTATAAGCCAATAAATTGAAATCCATTTTATTGAAAGATTTAACTACATTTGCCTTTGATGGTACATCCTAAAGAAGGACAATTTCAAAGAAAAACAAACCTTCTGGTGCTCTTTGATAGTTCTTCAAAATGGAAGAAATCTATATCGGAAAAAGAGAAATCAATTTATTCAAAGAAAAATCTCTCACTTTAGTTTGAATGCATGCAATCAGTTTAAAGTAAGATATATACCACATCTAAGCTAGTCAGTTTATTTTGTTTTTATTATCAGGTATGTATAATTTTAGTTAAAAACTGATGTTATTAGGGAACTGCAAGGTTATTGCTTATAACAATAATAAAACATTTTTTCTCTCCCTCGATAAGAAGTGTTTTTATTACTTTAAAATGCATAGAGATTCCATCGTTCTATGTAAAAACTCCTTATGTAAAGATTCCATCTTTACGTAGAGAGTACTTGTTCCTTTTAAAAATTAAAATTTTGCTCACTGTACATTATTATTTTACCCTGAAGGTTTTGAAAGAAAAGAGCATGCATTTAATTATTTAGCTAAATTGTATTTTGCATTTCTTATTGTATTTTTTAATTGTCTTAAATGAATTTGGATAAAGTTAGCAAAAAAAAATTTAGAAAATGACAATAACTAATTTCTAGTATTATTATTCTTTTTGTTTAAAATTCTTACATATACTGCAAATGCAACAAACAGATTTTTAACTTCAAAACTTACCCACTAAAACTCAATGTTGATTAACGTGATAAATTTTCTCGCCTCCTGTTTTCTTTACACTAGCGGCTGCGTCACAATAAATTTTTAGCGAAAATATGTTTTGTTTTCCACCTCCACTAGCTTCCGTCGCTCTATACAGCCAGAATCTTTTTTAGAGGCAAAAGTTTTTGTAGATCAACGCTAATAAGAAGGCGGAAGCCATTAGTGGCCACTTTCAAAAATCATTTTGGAGGAAAAATGATTTGGAGGCCGCATCCAGCGGCATCTGCCTCCCAGCTAACTGCGGTTAACAAATTGGAGACGGAAATTTGGTCTAAGTAACGAAAAGCATTTTCAATTTTGTTAACGAACCATTTAAATACTAAATAGTAGCAAATATTATAAGTTTGACATCAAAGTTGCGTTTTTTATGATGTATTGCATAACTTTTGAGTATTTATTTAAAAGTATAAATTTGTCTGATTGTTTATTAAAGAAAATAGAATAAAGTCGAATAAAATCAAATAAAATTGAAAAAGAAAAGCTTTTCAAAAAATTAGTAGTTTCATATATAAAACGATTTTAAAAAGAGGAAATGTTATTTTCGCTTATGGCGAAAAAACTAATTAAAAACAAAAGTTTTTAATAAATAGTTTTAGTCTATAATCAACATTTTATATTTTGGTGCCAATAAAACTTTACTAAAACTTTTATTTTACATCCATAACATTAAGTCTTTAATCTGAATCATTAGATATTTTAAAAATAATTGAATAATGTAGTATTCTTTAATACAGTAATAATAATAACTAGCTGTTGTGACCCGTAAAATACGGGTCTTTGTAAATTTATTCCACATCGTTTTTTTTTTTTTTTTTCTGATTAACATCGTATAATATTATTACAATGCACGTATACATATGGAATCTCATTAAATAAAATATAAAAGTATATATATATTACAACAAAATTAAGTTAATTCAGATAGAGGCTCAAAGAGGATAAAAATAACATTATTAAAAATAACACGTTATCGCAATCTTTTCATAGAACCCCTTGGTACAAGTTTAAATAAAACAAAGTAAGAATAAATAGCTTGTATATAAATATAATAATAACAACGTTATCATTAAAGAGTCAAGACAAGATTAAATTAATCAAAAAAGTAAAAAGAAAAAATTTTATCTTAAGTTCAAATTTTAAAAAATTATTTTTTTAATTGAAACTTAAATGAATTTAAAGACTTCACCATAACTTTAAATTCCTTTTGACAGTCATTCCATAATTTAGGTCCTCGATAAGATATACAAAATTCGGAGAGTTTATTGCATTTCTGAGGCAATTTTAAAGTTTTTATTTCTATTTGATCATACTTTCTATTAGACCATACTTTTCATTTGAATTTATTTCAAACTTATCTCTGAAGTTTGCTGGCAAGAGGTTGTTATAGTATCTATACATAAAAATTAGATGCTGATAAATATTTATGTCAAGTATATCCATCATTTTCATATCTCTCATAAGATGTTTTGCATGTTCCCGTTTATGTATATAATATATAATACGGCAAGCGTGTTTTTGGAGCCTATAAACTTTTTGAAGTTTTGAAGTTTGCGTACTTGCCCATGATATATTTGCATAATTAATAAAACAGTGTATCAGTCCAAAGTATATTTGAGACTTAACACATTGACGTATGGTCTAACCCTAAACATTACGCCAATAGTTTTGGTAACTTTTGAACGTATGTAATTTATATGGGGAAGCCAGGATAAATTTTCATCGACAAGGATTCCGAGGAATTTTATACTTGCTTGCTTTTTTAT